TCTTTAGTTTCACATAGATGGGCAATGCTGGGAATGGGGTGTGTAAGAGAGAGAGAGAGAGAGAGAGAGAGAGAGAGAGAGAGAGAGAGATGGAGTAACTGTACAAAACGGAGAAATATATCAAAGATATAGATGAATAGGCAGAGAGGTAAATAGACTGAGACATAGATAGAGAGAGAGAGAGAGAAGGGGGGGAGATAGATAGACAGATAGATAGATAGAGAGACAGAGTGATATATAATGGATATATATAATTTTATAGAGGGAGAGAGCAAGAAAGAGAAGGGGAGAGCGAGATAGAGAAGGGGAAGGGAGGGGGGGGGGGGGAGCGATACCGAGAGCGGGATTGAGAGATGATTTTACTCCAAAACAAAGGTAGAGAGGGACACACAAAGGCAAAGGCAGAGAAAGAGATTGGAGAGACGGTGAGGGGCGGGGGGGGGGGGGGGGAATAAGACGATTAATTTGCCCTAGTAATTCTTGTGCTGTCACATGTCAATTAATTGATCTGATGTTGACACGCACATGCTACAGCTAAGTCTCTTAATCACCATTTCCCAATTACAAAAATGCAATTAGAGAAACATACTCACAACAAACGGATGCTTATCAACAGGGGGGAGGGGAGGTATGTGGGGTTACATCATACATGTTAATACTCTATAAGCAGTATTCCTACTTGTGGCATATTCAGTTTGCAGGCGAAGTCCTCCGTACAAAAATAATTAAGTCTAAATGAAAATGAGTATATTACCATTGAATGTTGAATATGAATTTCGGCCTGTTCATTTTTTTTCCCTGGTCAACACAATCATTCTTAGATAATTGGGATGCAAAATAATACATGAGATAAGTAAATAAATGAATAGATAAATAGATAAATAGATTAAAAAAGAATAGATGAATGAATGGATTCATGAATAGATTAATGGGTTTAATAATGAAATATTTGAATGAATGCTTTACGCGATAACATTTAATGAAGCAGTGAATAAAAAAACTAATAACATCACACACACACACACACACACCACATGCACAAAACAAGCATTGCACACTGTCACACACAATAAAAAAAAAAAAAAAATACAAGCACAGACATATACACACAACTATTGCATTAATTATACATCTGTATGCACCAGAATAAAAATGCTAACCTTTACATGTAGACAGGAATCGCCTTGAGCGAATACATTCGTAACACATGTTACCCTCTGTAATTGAGGCGAGAATGTAGGTCTTGCATTTATAATACTTGCATACATGGCGGAAGGATGAGCTAGAGAAAAATATACCTGGGAGGGGGGGGGGAAGGCTGAAACAGGCGTTGAATACAGAATAACCAATAAGTGGTAGACCATTCAGGGGCGGGTGGGGCACCTCGGCCAAAAAACAAGGAAAAAAAAAATCAACACCAACAACAAAAACAGACAACGACAAAAACAACAAACAAACAGTGCAATTATAAATAACTGGGCAGTTTGGTCAAAAATTCATCGGGGTATAGTCCCATATACCAATTTTTGTGTAATAATTGTTGATTGGACGTGATATTTATCAGGATTGAGTCGTGTTATCCTTTAACTTTGATCATGCCAATACTACACGGTATACATTTATTTCTTATGTAAGCCCCCTGTGCACAGTTCCTTCTATAGAGTTTCTTTCGCAATGTAATTCCATGACTAGTGCCCAACTTCATCTGGGATATCTGATTTCCAATAACGTATAAATGGTTTTCAATGATGTAATGTAAGCCGCCCATTCAGAAGGTTCAAGTGGGCTCTCTCGATGGGAAAGTAGGCAGCTCTCCGTAGTATGAGGGTACATACCCGTGTCAATCATGGTGCCAAACAGTGTCTGCACTTTGAGACTAGGCTGACGGCATACTGTATAGGCTCTGTACCTTATCAGCCCCTGTCACAGCCATAGACTGACAGAGGTAGGCTCTGCTCAAGGCTTGAGGAATTGTGTTAAAGAGTCAAGTAAAAGTCTGTACCTTCAGACTAAGCTCCCCGTGCGTACCATTAATGTTTATCACCAAATACACGGTGTCACAAAAAAGAATATACATAGAACTTAGTTATTCCTGGCTCACTTTCCTGATTAAGGTGTCATATGAAAGGGCAGAACATGAACTTTCTAGAAATGTGATTTTCTCTTTGAAATTCATATACCGCCCGCCAAATGACTTTTTGTTTTTCTTTCTTCAAATTGTTTTTAATCACTCATGCGTGAAATATGCATCATTAGTGTTGCTTCAAATGAAAGAGGAGGATCTAAGCTTTACAAATATGTGTAATTTATTAATTATAATTGTGATTAAGTTATGATAAAATATCTATAATTTTCGATTTCATTTTTTCTGGGACGCTCTGTATATATAGATAGATTGAGGAATTGAATCCAGTTTGATACATCAAGAAAAATACAAAAGAAAAAAAAAAAAAAAAAATTTACTTTGACAGAGCGACCCATACAAGCTACTAATTAGATTAATTCCAAGAGCATAGCACATATAAGATGATGAAGAAGAAGGAGGAGGAGAAGGAACAGGAGGTGGAGAAGGAGAAGGAGGAGGAGGAGGAGGAGGAAGAGGAGGAAGAGAAAGAGAAAGAGGAGAAGGAGAAGGAGAAGGAGAAGGAGAAGGAGAAGGAGAAGAAGAAGAAGAAGAAGAAGAAGAAGAAGAAGAAGAAGGAGAAGAAGGAGGAGGAAGGAGAGGAGGAATATAATCAGCGCTTATTACAGAATCCAAGCAGTTCACAAACACTTTGCAGTAGCATTACGAGGAATAATATAATACACCTAGATCGATGGAGAGAGCGAGAAAAAGAGACATCGAGTGAGAGAGGAGAGAGAGAGAGAGAGAGAGACAGACAAACAGAGACAGAGACAGAGCTGTATATAAAATACATTGTCTAGAAGGTGGAGGAAAATGCAACACGGAAAAGAAACGAAAAGAGAGAGAGGGAGACACACACTTTTTTTATGAGAAAACAAACAAGGAACGGAAATAGAATCGCATAAAGAGAAAAAACTTTAAAAATAGAGAGAGAGAGAGAGAGAGAGATGTCAAATTGAGTGAATTGTGATATACAAAAATATATATGTGTGTGTGTGTGTGCGTGTGTGCATGTTTACATCAAATTCATCTTTCTCCATTGAAAGTGAACTGACCTGTGTGATTATTAAAGTGATCCTTAGGAATTTATAGATCACTATGAACTATAAACACAATTATGCTTTAAAAATGTATCGATAATACCTCCTTCAACTAGGCCGACAAAATATGTTTGAACTTTCCCCAGTTTGAGAACTGAGCAAAAAATACATTTCAGGAGCATCTGCGTTCTCTTCTTTTTTCTCACCCCCCCCCCCCCCCGACAATCGTTCTGAATGCGTTGACCTTTAAATAGGGGCATATACTTTTATTTTTAGATGAACAGCACTCTTAAATCAGTTTCTATTTTCACTGATGATAATAACAAAATAGCAGACGACCTACAGATGGATGTTATAGCTACTGTTTGGGGATTGAATTTGCTTTTGTTTTAGAGCTATTTTGCTTTGCGCCGACGTGTTTTGTGACGTCAGTCTGTAGTCCGCATCCCCTGTTTGCACAAACTGTCATCTCGTAGAGTACACACCCACCCCTCCAGAAGAAGATTCACGTCATACGTGACGTCATCGGGGTCCTAACTTTCCCCACACTCTCTTGGATTTGGCTATTTATATCCCGGCGTGACGTCATTAATTGGCATCTGAACAATAGCGGCGTCCTTAATTCTTACAGACGTGAGATCGATGTCTCTTGAGTTGGAGGGGATGATCTCCAAGATGTTAAGGTGGGGGTGTAGAAGGCGAATTGGGTTAAGATGAGAAAAAAAAAATAGGGTACACGATAAACAGGTAGTTTGCATGCACCACCATTTTCCTTCAGACATTCGACACAGCTATAGAGAAATCAATAACTATGAATATACAATATTCAGAAAGAAAGTAGTATCAATTCTTCAAAGTTCATAAAAGATTTGTGAAATGTCACGCACGCAATATGATACAAATCATATATTCTGGCCATATAGGCATGGGGAAATCAAGTTTCTGGTGATAAAAAAGGGAAATTAATGGGATTAAACTATATTAAGCAATTAATAAATAGTGAGGACACGACGTCACCAAACTAATAAGCAAATAAGCAATTTGTGTAGTGATTTCCATTGTTCCATAGTTTTACATACTTTTTCAAAAAAATCGTAACTTTCTTATTAGTTATCTGATTTTGCTCATACTTTTTTGATTGGTTTGTCTGATTGTTCTGCTTCTATTCAAAGTAAGTTATTTTTTGGAGTGGGCTTGCCCTTTAATGGATTTTGGTGAAGTGATAAATTAGAGTCTGTGCCAACAGCCTAGTATTAATACGAGAGTGGTGAGCGATTCAAGTCTGAATAAAGACTGGCAAGATTTTCAAAATACCACCCTAAAGGTTCAATAGCCATGCATGTCTATCACCGATTGAAATATACAAACATTGCAATTAATTATATACCCCCTTCACGAGCTGCCGATATAACTTGGAAACACAGAATCGGTTTCCATGCAGTCCGGTAAACAACATCAATATTGATGTTTTCTCTTCTTCTTCTTTTTCTTGTTCTTTTTTCTTCTTCTTCATCACCATCATTCTTTCTTCTTCTTCTTCTTCTTCTTCATCTTTATCTTCACCATCATCTTCTTCTGTATTCTATTTCTTCATCATCATTATCTTCATCTTAACATTATTATTAATAGTATTAGTCGTATAAGTAGTAGTAGTAGTAGTAGTAGAAGTAGTAGGCCTAGTAGTAGTAGTAGTAGTAGTAGTAGTAATATTCTTCAATATAAGTACATACCAGCGTCGGGTGTATTCTCGTGTTATTAGTATTAGTATTATGATCATTATTGTTGTTATTGATGATCAATCGATTAACAATTAATTAGCATTTTTCTAATTGCAGGATGTGAATCTGGATTAGCGCACTCTACGGCAGCTCATCTTGATTCTCTCGGCTTCACGGTCTACGCAGCTTTCCTGACAGAAGACGCTAAAGCAGAGAAGGAGCTAGCAAAGCTATGCTCGGACAGACTGGTGACCCTATATCTGGACCCTAGCGACGATAACAGAGTGACGAGTACTGTCGAAGAATTGAGGGAAAGCCTCAACGGAAATGGTACGTTAGAAAGTAATCCGTGTTAAGAAATCATATCATGTACAGTGACCTTCATTTTAGATGGCTGATAATTCCCTTGGATTAAAATTATATCAGGAATTTTATTGATACATCAACATACTTCCCTTTCGAGTCATTTCAAACACACACATTTGAGACAATTTAAAGGAATTAAAAGCAGTACTGATTCATTAACATCTTGCATTTTTAGAGTCATTTACAACACACAGATTTGACAATATGTGAGGGAAATGCGACAAATTAAAATGTTGATTTTGTGTTTAGTAATTGCTGGATCCAGTGTAACGATCAGTAATAATATTGGTGACACACACAATAAATTTGTGGTCTTGGCTACGTTGATATCTTAATGTAGCTTTCAAGCAATAACATATTTGGAAAGAAATGAGAATTCAGAAAGATTTCCTATAATAAACTAGATCTTCTATAGCGCCGGTATCCGCCGACTTATACACTCGTATTTCATCAAAAATAAATGAGAATATTCTCTTGATTATGTATATGGTGCCTTTTGCTTACACTACCACCAGTCACAGTCACATCAATAGATTTTGTACTCTCGGATGAAATATATGGATAAATTCATATGTCGCACGGGTCCACTAATCAATAGAATATTGCAAACCTTTCAAACTTGTTTATATCTTATGACACGAAGTTGCGATAAGTGTGAATCAAATGAAAAAGTTCATAGTGCACAATTGAAATTAATATTGTACTAAGTTGATTAGAGTGTATTTGAGGTTGATATCCCCTGCAGTCAACCTCTAGGCATTGTACCTTTCGTAAACTTCCGTCATTGTCTAACTTGACTTCTTGTTATATTTACTTTGGACAGATTTATGGGGTTTGGTGAACGGTGTGACCTGCTGCTATTACGCAGAATCAGAAATCATGCCACTGGATTTCTACCGGAAGTTATGGTCGGTCAATGTCGAAGGTCAAATAAGGGTCACCAGAGCGCTTCTTCCGCTACTCAGGAGGTCACGGGGTCGAATCATCAATATTACGGGTATATCAAGTGAGTAAGGTGTAGGTAGCAGTACAATATTATTTTATACAAAATAGGATCAATGTTTACCAATACTTCTTGGCATATATATATTTATATCATGTTAATAAAATAGGCATTATCCTCCCTGGAGTTCCATATATAAGGTGGATGAGGATGTTTGTGTGTATGTGTGCGTGTGTGTGTGGTGTGATGTTGTTGTGTAGAGGGCATCAGTGACATAAACCAAGGTCCATCTGATACCACATGAATTTTTAAAAACAAATAATGTTAGAAATAATGTGCACAAAGTCAAAGAAATTGTAGAATCTACAGACCGTATTGATGAATAAAACTATATACAGTCAAACCTGACTATATAGCGACCGCACAAAAAGTGGTCTCTGTAGACAGGTTCCTTTAGTACATGTTTCAATGAGAAACCATTTTCAAGGGAAACAACAAAATCTTTGTAGACAGGTGGTCTTTGTAGACAGGCGATCACTAAAGCAGGTTTGAATGTATACATATTGAGTTATAGATAAATTAAAGATAAAGGTGAGTTCTGGTAAAAAAAAAGAAAATAAATTCTCACAGAATCAAACGAAACTTACACTGAATGTTCAAGATTACAAATAAATGTCATTTACCAAACAATTTTGGTAAAGGATGTATACTGGCTGAATAATGAGCATATACAGATTAGGAAATCAAGGTTAGTAGCCCCGACACCATTGTGTAGTCCCATGTACATCTTTCTGTGTACAGTGCTTGTTACTTTACCAAGACTGGGCTAAATCTATTATAATTTTGAGGACTCCAGAACTTTGCAGTACACACCAATACTTACATGCTACATGATCAACTTTTTCTGATCCATTCCACACCTTTTCCTTCACAATGCAATCGGATGACCAGAACTCACCGTTATCTTTAAATCGAACGTTGTGCTTTTTTTTCTTTGACTCCCGCTTTCAGACCGGCTTCCTGCACCGGGTTTCTCTGCCTTCTGCGCCTCCAAAGCAGCGCTGCTGATGTACAGTGATGTGCTGCGCTTGGAGATGAAGAAATGGGGCGTCCACGTATCAGTCATAGAGCCGTCCGAGTACAGAGCTGGTAAGTCCACGCACTTTAAAGGGAGTGTATCATGGGAAATACTGGTTAACCCCATCTACGTCTTCTTTTGGACAACTGCAGGTAAACGAATGGACTTGATTAACTGGGTCAGCGCGCTAGCGTTCGCGAAACAGACCGAAATTCTCCTCACGCTTCGGTTTCGCGTATGTTTTACGCACGTGAATGCTGCGGCCACGTCGTCCGAAGTCGTATTATACTCGATTGGCCCCGAGTAGGGCGACGGGAAAGACACAAAGTCTCGTCATGATACACTCCCTTTAAACACCCTGTTTAGTTTGTTTCGGTTGTACGTTGAATTTGTGTTTCTACATACCCGTAATTTAACTTCCATATAGAGAGACTATTAAAACCATTTACAGCAGAGTCTTTACGATTGCACTGACAGTTATTTGTTTTGTAGTAGTTGTTGTCGTTTTAATGGCAAACAGTCAACTTTTAGTATTATTGCTGAATAATCTTGTTTCATTTTTGTTCAAGCAATGTTCCCATTTTTCTGAAGTGATCGATGGATATGAGATAAATAGATAATAATATCACAAACTTTGAACTCGGCACGATGATTGAAAGTCCTTGTTTTGTGCGGTGAAAAGAGAAATGTCCTTTTGATCTTTTTGAAATAATATTCAAAGTGAAAGCAAGACATCGTTCTTGAAGCCCAATCTTTATGATAACGATATTGTAATGACATTTCTATTTTTACTTAATGACTCTGTACAGCTTTCAACAAAGATGGGAGGTTAAAGAAAGCTCTTCATCACATGACGCACGAGCTGAGCCCGTTGGTATCACGTGACTATGGGGATCAGTACTTCGACGCTGCCATGGCAACAGTGGATCGGGAGGATGGGACTGACTTTACTCCCGACCAATCAGCTCCGTGCAAAGCCATCGAGCATGCGCTGTTGGCAAAGAACCCTGATGAACATTACTCGTGCGACAAAACTTCCATTGTGCTCGGCGCCCTAACAAGCCACGCCCCCGCGTTCATCACAGATACCATTGCGAAGTTTCTGGCGGGGACGCAGATCTCAGAGCGTTGCCTAGCGATGACGTCAGAAGATAAAGACTCTGGGAATTCCCGAAAAGCTGCAGATGATTATAAAAATGACAACGTCGAGTCCTCCAAAGATGTAACTAACAATATCAATGCACATAATTATCCTGTAACCACCTGAGAAATCGTTATAAAACAAAAACCATTGAAATCATTATTGTTGATAATCGAAATGGCACATAAACTCCCTTGTAGGACAAGTCCACTCGAAAAACAACTTACTTTCAATAAAAGCAGAAAAATCAGACAAACCAAAAAAAAAAGTTTGAGCAAAATCGGATAACTAATAAGAAAGTTATGATTTTTTGAAAAAGTTTTTTAAAACTATGGAACAATGAGAATCACAACACAAATTGCCAAAATAGTTATCAGTTTGTGACGTCATGTCCTCACTATTTATCAATTGCTCTATATAGTTTAATCTCATTAATTTCCCTTTTTATCTCCCAAAACGTGATTTCCCCATGCCTTTGCCCAGGTTATATGATTTGTATCATATTGCGTGCATGACATTTCACAAAATCTTTTATGAACTTTGAAAAATTTATACTATTTTCTGTTTATTGTATATTCATAATTATTGATTTTTATATAAATAAATTATCAAAATTCACATTTTTCATGATCTAATTGGAAAAAATTACTATATATTAGTGCATCCACACAAAACATATTACTCTTGATCTAACTTGGATGCTGGTGTGAAAAAACAAGATTCTTAAGGAGAAAAAAGGAAATTTATATCATCATAATATAAAGAAAATAATTTGTGGATAGTGAGGACATGACGTCACAGACTCATGAGTGAGTTGCCAATTTGTCTAGTGATTTTCAAAGTTTTTAATGTCATTAAAAATTCATAACTTTCTTATTAGTTATCCGATTTTGCTCAGACTTTTTTTGATTGGTTAATCTGATTTTTCTGCTTCTATTGAAAGTTTATTATTGTTGGAGTGGACTTGGGCTTTAAGGCTTAACGAGGTGTTACTTGGGCGTGACTTCGGGGTCAATCGTGAATATTTCACTAATATGAGATATATGGCATTGTGACTTTGGTGTTAATAAGGGGCTGCAATATAACATATTCAAATGTATGGGGGTTTCTTTCCTGGGGAAGAAGTGACGACTTATTCCATTATCGTGTTATTAAGCCTTTTCGTAAATACTATCTGCGCATGGGCAGATAAAGGTAATTTCTGATAAGATTATAAAACCCACCGACAGGAATACATGCTCTTGTTATGTAATCATTATTCATGTGTGCACAAACGGTACATTCTTAAGATACACGAGGGCAAACAAAAGCTTGTCATTAAGCACATACATGACTTTGGCATTGATTATTCTAAAAGACACATAGTGGGACTTCTCCATGAGTGAAAGATCTGTGGATATTTGGGGTCATTTGACCTATGTGCTAACTGCGAAATGGTCTATACTCGGCATATAAACGGTATTCACGAAGATCATCTATTTCTTTGGCAGTGACTATTCTATAAAGTCAGAAATTCTGATTTCTCGATGGATCTGTAGATATTTTGGGGTCATTTGTGCTCTGTGCTTTCTCCGAATCCAATTCCTCTGATATTCTGCAGAAAAAAGGACGTAGGCCTACCTTGATATAATCATAAGCCCCTCATCAACTTTTCAAAAAAGTTTCTCAAAGAATATAGAAATTATCAGAAATGATTTGCTTGATAGACTATCATTAATGAATAACCCTTGACAACTCTTTCCTTGGTTTTAAAATAACTCTTGAAATTATGTTTCACCTTGCTTTTTATAGTACTATGTATTATATAATTTGCGTATATACATATTTTAATATCATATTATCCTGTAATACTGCAAGAAGATGATGGATAATGTGCCAATCATCATTTCAATAAAATTCTACTGAAACAAAATAGTGAATAAACCTTATAGTACCATGTAGAATATTTATTCAGCTTCCAAAGGCAAAAATTCAATTTCTTTGTTTTAATTTAGCAAATAATATATTCATGTATTTTGCAGAAAATTATGTATCATCTTGAAGATGATGCATATTTTAGTGAAACTATATCTTTTCGGGACACATGTATTGAGTTTGATTACACATTATTTATGACACTTTCGAGTTAGTTGATAAATTGAATTTATGACTGATTTTATACTACATCTTTTGCCTTGATTTATGTTTTTAAGGTTAATTAAATTGCCATTTGAGTTTTTAAATTAGTTTATTCTACTATTTACTTTTTAAAATTAAATATACTATATTTTCTTTGTTATGAATGGCCGATGAAAGGGAATTTCTTTCTGCAAACTTTCTGCAATTTGGTGCGTATTTTAAATTACTCTTTTTAAAAGCTGTTGTAGACATAAGAATATTGATTACTGAATCAATTTTAGGTCTTCCGGTTGTGATTTCTAAAGAGAAATCAAGAGATTTCATGATTATCACGTGTTATCAGAATGTAGTCATATAGCAATACTTGTAGAAAAGGCTGATGATACTTCATGTACAGTGTAACACATAAGTTGTTGTCATGGTAATGTATAATGGTCATGTAAATACTATTCAGACATTAATCAATGTTATGTCGAAATCTTGTATCGATGTTACTTCCACTTATGATGTGGTAGTATAAGTCCACCGCCCCCTTTTACGTTTAGGAAAATAGTTGAATGGAGCATGAGTGTTAAATTGTAATTCCTTGGACTAGTTCTCCAAATCGTCTGGTGTTGCAGTTCACGGATTTCCAATTGAAACGCGTTTTAATTCTATAGCATACGATTATGAAGGATATCCAAGATAAAAAACTTATGACAGTTTTTGAGAAATGGTCCTATAGCATACGATTATGTAGGATGTCCAAGAAGTTAGACAAATGACAGTTTTTGAGAAACAGTCCTTAGTTTTTTAAATAAACGTTCATTTAGATTATTTGGACCTCTGAAGATAAAAAGACTCAATAAATCTTTGTTTGGAATGGGAAAGTTTAGCGATATGTCTTGCCGATGTGATGTGGAATAGAATGATCAGTACTTGAATCGAACTCGCGTTTTTGAAACCTGGTATCTTTAACGACACTTTTTTTAACGGAAAAAAATTATGCAGAACGTAAAAAGGTAGAAGAATGTGAATATTGGCTAGTTAGATTTTTTAAACGGACTTTTTTTCTTTTCTTTTTACACGCTGATGTACATTTGGTTTAGGATTAATACATTTTGGTATATTATCAATTTTTGAAGACACAAGTTTAATCCAAATTAATTGATAAAGGTCAGATTCATTTATCAAATGTGATGTTATTTAATGATGGACTGTTTTTAACCGATGTAATAGCCATTTACAATTTTAAGTGCATCTGAAGTGGGGTACAGTCCGCCGTGCACGCTGCTTCGTGTAATCGTGTATTGTGTGCAAGATGGTCTGGAGTAAATGAAAGAAAACAAAATATATAAACGATTTTAAATCGTTGAAAGGATTTCTTTAAATACCAATATATCGATCAAAAATTAAGAAGTCAGGGTTATAGGAGACAGAAAAATACTTATTATAAACTGCAGCAACATCAATTTAGTAATATAGTCAGAAGTAGTAGTAGAAGTAGTAGTAGTAGTAGTAGTAGAAGAAGAAGCATCAGCAAAAGTAGTTCAATTGTATTTTTTATTATAATAAATGTTGAAGTATTGTACAAAGAACCAGGGGTATAAAAGGAAATATAGAATATAGTCGCAAACGTGAACGCTGGATGAACTTGTTCCTGAAATCGGTAGTATGCAAATAATAATAATAATAAAAACGTTATTTATAAAGCGCTTACCACCGAAGTCTCTATGCGCTATAACACATAAAATAACACACAACGCAAAATCAGTGTAACTCAATAACCAATAAAAGAGGCATTAACTGAAATATTATCTCAGTAAATTAAAATGTAGATACATACTGGAACTTTCTTATCACGTTTTCTACCTGCGCTTGCCAAGTTGAATTAAAAAGAATGAGACAAAATTAATGATTGAAGTTAATTGACACTCTTCTTGACACGTACCATATTTGTCATTGTTTTTGACACTGTACAACATTTTGTTTCCTTCAATATTATGACAAACATTATTTCCCAAACGCGTGGGATAGTTTTGCTTTTTAATAAATTATACATCCACGTGTTTAAATTGTGAAGCATGGTTTATAAACGAAAATAAGGAACGGATTTGGTACTTCCAAACCGCGCTTGAAATATAGAGTACATCGTAGGTTATTATATACTTCATGTTTAAAGAATAAATTACATGTTTTGTTTTTGTATTTTGATTTGTTGCATCGTATGTTGGTAACGGGGTTTGGTTTTTCTTGAAATAGTGCTATTTCTGTTAATTTTGTTTGAATGATCGAACATGATAATAATAATAATATTTAATTTGTATATAGCGCTTAATACAAATGTCTCTAAGCGCTTTACAAATATACTATTACCCCGGTCATTGGATTCAGTGCTTGCCCACACACACTGTGTGCACAATCTCCACTCCCTGGGGAGCATTCCAGCCGGGCGTTACTTGACGCTCACAAGCTGTTTGACCAACACTGACGGCCATGAACATGTCTCTGACAATAGGAATATACAACATCACTCCCGGCTTGAAAAAAAGAAGATACGTTCATATGTTTATTACATGTACATGTGTTTTGTCCGTATTATACACGGGGCATGCATTAACAATACATAATCTTGTTAGTTTATTGCAATATCAAAACGGAATGCGATACGGTTAATGCAAGCAGACCATGTCAAACTGTTCGGTATTTGTCGACGCGGTTAGTGTTACCGCGTTTGTCAATATTTCACACCGAAGCGGTTATAATTACCGCTTCCAGTTGATTCTATTGTTCATGAGGACTATACGATTCGCAGCTGTATAGAATAACCTTCCCCCCTTTTTTCCGTCGTCTCAGGATGGTGTATTAGAACACAATAAAAACAGGTTTAGTTGAACGTTAGGGCATGGTTTCACGTAACCATCATTATTACAAGTTCAACGACATCCCAATGGAACCCGTATTTAATTTAATACATTTGTTTCAAGGGGTTGTCGTTGGACTTGTTCTTACGACGGCTTCATGAAACGCTGCACATAACTTT